TGTGTGTGTGTGACAGACACCGGGGTGTGTGTGTGTGACAGACACCGGGGTGTGTGTGTGTGACAGACACCGGGGTGTGTGTGTGTGACAGACACTGGAGTGTGTGCATGTGACAGACACTGGAGTGTGTGCATGTGACAGACACTGGGGTGTGTGGGTGTGACAGACACTGGACTGTGTGTGTGTAACAGACACTGGGATGTATGTGACAGTCACTGAGGTGTGTGTGACAGACTGGTGTGTGTGTGACAGACACTGGGGCGTGTGTGTGACAGTGTGTGCATACTGACAGGCATTGTGACTCTGCAGCAGAAAAATTTGGAACAACAATGAGCTATTTAGTTACAGGTGTTAAAATACTACAGAAAACTTGCTTAAGACACCTTAAGAATGTGCAATGATAAGTCCTGTTGTTTTACATGATAAAATAAGTCTGGAAGCAATTATTTATAAACCAAGCTTCAGCTTGCTTATTGTTTTGTGATAAAGAACTCTTGAGTGTAATCCTCCATGTAAAAAACAGAGAGTCTCCAAAACAGAGCTTTGAAGAAGCCATAACCAAAAGCAGGATCTTTGTACTGTAACTCTTGCAGACATGGCTCTTCCGATGTCTGGAGCTGAGCACACCCAAGGCCTGGGAGTGGACAGCTCCGATCTGCACGGCAGGAAGAACACATATCTAGAATGAATAGTCAGTGCAGGGGGTCTTTTGATTTGTATTTATTTTATAGACCCTGTAATGCAGTGTCCTATAACTTTAAAAAAGCACAAGGCAGTGACAGACGCAGTCTATGACTCTTCTTGCTCCTGTTAAAGCTGAGCTTGCAGCACGTTTGTACTGTAAGTGTCATACAGTACCTTTTCTACATCAGGCAGCACCCTGCAGCGTAACCTGTACTCCACCCTTCTGCACTGTCACACACAGCACGCCACATGTTCCTGTCCACGCATTTGGCTATACACCCTTTCAACAATATATGTGGGCTATACATCCTATCTGTGCAAACATTCCTGTCAATACATCTAGGCTATACATCCTATCAGTAAATCAATGCAAATATTCCTGTCATTAAACTTGTGCAAACCCACCAATCACTAAATCTGTACGAACACCCCTGTCATCAAGCCCGAGCATGATTCCTGTCACGAGCTCTGTGCACATACAGTACTCTTGCATCCTCCACCCCTCCCCCTCAGAAAAGACAAATTCAGCTTGAGTCACATCTCTTACCACTCTGATGGCAGCGGGGACCCAGGCTACAGTTCAGAGAGCAGGAGCTCTAATTAGCCCATGAGCACACCGCACTTAAAAGTGCAGCCTGTGTCTTGCATTATTTAGCCCACTGTCTGGAGAGCAGCAGAGCGGAGTGCATGTTGTTAACAATGGAGCTGCTGGACACTTCCACTCTCCCTGCACCCGCAGGAGTCTTTGCTGTGACGAGATGGGGGATTTTACGAAAGCAATCACTACAACGCTGACAGAGAATGCGTTCTGTGGAAAAGAAGTGTCTTTTTTCCCTACAATGCACTCCTTTTGATGGAGCAGTGGTTAATCGAAGTGGCACGATGAGGGTGGAAAGGCCTGGAGGAGAACAAAACTGTTTCCTAAACACCATCTGAGCACACAGTTTGCCCACACCCAGAAACACAGGGAGGGAAGAGGCCACTGTGTCCGATGACCCTGATCCAAACCGATATGCCAGAAGCGAGAACACGCACTGCTGCTCGAGAGCCGTTAAGCAGAACGTCGGGTTTTCAATCACCCGCCAGAACTCGACTGATTCGCCTTGTTTCCAGCCACAGGAACAGCATCTGATTTTAACCTGCCACTGCCTGTCAGCAGCCAACATGGGGGCATGAATGAGGTCTGCATCACGTCAGTTCTCCCTGTATTGTCTTGAATATTCACACGCAATATTAATGGAGTAAAAACCTTTCATAAATGGGTTGGTTACCAAACTGCATGGGAACACAAAGCTTTTAAAACCAGCTGATTTGTAATTTGCCCAGCTGAGCCCTGAATGTGATTATAGGGTGCCCAGAAGGATGAATACAGCCTCCTAATGCACCTCAAAACAGGGAAAACACAGAGTGCACAGAGAGCTGCATTAACAAACTTATTAGGTAAGGAAACACACTCGGCGCAGCAGCAAGTCAGGTGCTGAAATGCAGTGTTTCGTTTGGCTGAAACCCCATGAAAGCTCTCCACAATCCTCTCTGCAATTACAGCCCGATGCTGATCATTAGCTCGGTGTATTAGTTGATGACGTATCTGCACTGCCTTTGGCTATTAAAATCAAATGTACAGTATGTGCCTGCCTTGAACTATTTTTAGATTTCGACATTTTAAGTTACATGAAAACTTCGGTTCGGAAAGTTTGGTGAAGTAACACCAGTTAGAAAACTGAGCCGCGGTTTGTTCGAGGTTTGCAGAGCATGCAAAATGTTACAGTATCACAGCAGGTAGTGAGTTTCTTTGAATAAAGGAACGAACGATGCAAGACAGGCTAGTGGTGCAGCCTGCATAGGTGCCTGATTGTAAGGAGCAGAGATGCTGACAGATGGGAGTGTGAGGAAAAGTACAACAGGGTGGAACAACCCAAACCCTCACTCACAGAGGATCACAGCCATTCCCACACACACACAATTCCACTGCCAGGGGCTCAGCATGGCTTCAGACTCTCAGAGAGTCTGTACAAAGATACATCATGGTGCGCTGCAGATGAACTGTCTGCATGCAACAGTGTCTAGAGTAGGAGTTTTTCTCTCTTCCCGTGGAATAAGACTGCCTCTTTCTTCCACTGCCCTGGATTCTCCGCAGTGCTCTGCCCAAGCGCAGCACGCCACTTCCCTGCAACATTCCCACTGCCACAGGTGAAAACAGGAGAATTCGAGAGCAGCACTGTCCAGTGATGGGAGCCCCCCCACACACAGCATCCTCCCAACCTGCGAAGGAAACCCCGACTCCTGCAGGCAAGGCCAATCCAGACAGCACTTC